AAGGCAGCGGGGTTTGGCGGGAAATGCAAATGCATTACCATTTCTACAGAACAAGTCGCCACATGTTCCAACCCCCAACCTGGAGGGCCAGGAGACTGTGTTCGTCAGACCTCTAACTATTGACCAACCTGGTATGAGAGACTCTGTGAGTATCGCGGGACACTCTCCAGTATAGCTCAATGGATCGCTGAGGTGCGCAAACCGTCACACCACGGTAAGGTCCAGTCTCTTCGTGACGAACAGTGGTCCAACTATGTACTATCCATGTCGAACCGAGAAGACTGTTCACGGAGCCTTCTTCAGAATGGCATTAAATGCTTGATGAACGTGTGAATCGGTAGGTCGGTGGGAAGACTAGGGGTCTGGGTGTGTTGGTGCGGCGGTGGGAAGACTAGGGGTCTGGGTGTTGTTGGTGCGGTCCACCCTGCAGGGTGTGGTACTCGCGAGCACCAAGGATCCCCCGCGCGGGGCTGGATACATTGCAAGTAATAGCGGCCAGTCAATTTCGATGACGTTTATGCTGTGTAAGGTCTAAATATGACAACCCACACTTAAGTAAAGTAACGGCAAATATATAGGTGACCCGAAAATATTACTTTGTCCTCAAGAGCGCGTTCGACCCCGTTGATTGATTCGATCAGTTGTACGACACGATTTTTCCGCACCTTTGCATGCATTAGAAAAGGAAAAGGAGAAGCGACTCTCGAGGATCATCATCATCATCAACAGCAACATCAGTGTTGGCACTGATGCCTGCTCCAAGATCAGTGTTGGCACTGATGCTTCACTGCTCCAAGGGAGCACGTGGTCGGGACCCACAAATGTGATCCAAAATTAGCGGCAGTCAATTACTGATTCGCGACATCGGTAAATGACAGTGATGAGATCAATTTGGGTCCGTAACCAGCACCCTTTTGGAGGATACCATGTGGCCAGACGATTTCGACTATTTCGAAAGTTGGCACTGCATAAAAACAGTCTGCGATCAGCACATAGCTGAAGCGGTTGTTCACCATCGTCCGTACGTACCGAGTCCAATTCATCATCATCATCACCATCATCACCATCATCATCATCATCATCATCATCATCATCATCATCATCATCAATGACAGCAACATCAGTGTTGGCACTGATGCTTCACTGCCGTACAACCATAAAGTTCGTTTA